GGAAGGAAGGAAGGAAGGAAGGAAGGAAGGAAGGAAGGAAGAGCAGTTGCCTTTTTGGAAAAAGCAGCTTTGGGACAGCCATGACCTGGATGATGGAGAATCTTCATGGAAACTCTTTCTGGGTGTGTGTTGGGAATTGAAATCAACAGTCAGCTGGATGTCACAGAGATAATACATTTCAGTAACAGAGATGCTCTTGGAAGCAACTCTGCAAGAAGCAATAGCAACAGCACTTAGACTTATATACTTACATACTTCACAGTGTTTTTACATCCCTCTCTAAATAGTTTACAGAGTCAGCCTCTTGCCCCCAACAATCTGGGTCCTCATTTTACCCACCTCAAAAGGAGGGAAGGCTGAGCCAACCTTAAGCTGGTGAAATTTGAACTTCAAAATTGCAGGTAGCCCTGCAGTACTGCACTCTAACCTCTGCGCCACCACGGCTCAGTAACAGCCTGTTGAAAGAAAGAAAGGGATTTACAGTTGAAGAGTCTATCTTGTATGGTTCCAGCGTCTTTCCATAACTATATCTTACAATCGGGTGTTTTATTTATTTTTAGATGAATTCTTCAAGTCCATTCCCTGAGCCCAAACATGGCCGTCACTTCTCCAATGAATCAACCTATTCCCATTCTTCTGCAGAAGAATCCCGACAGGATCCAGCAGCAGGGAACACTCACTCTGCAGGAGGTTCTAGACCTCCCTACAGAGAACGGCGTTCATGGCAGGATCTTATAGAGACTCCGTTGACCAGTTCAGGACTCCATTTTCTCCAGACTGTCCCTACTGATTCAGACTATGTGAACGAGAGATTTGGGGTGTCCCCGGAGAGGCGGCGGCAAGCCACCTTACCTGTCCAGAGACGCCACAACCACGATCAGGATGGCCCTTTCCCATTGGTCGAGTGCTACAAAGGTCACAGTTCTCACTCCAAGCCCCAGAAGCAAAGAAGCCAAAGCCTTCCACGAAATCGCGATGTCCGGATCAAAGGGCGAGTAAAAACGAGTGGGATCTCTGAAGAGCGATCGGAAGAGGAATTGGCCGTTAAAAAGCCAAGTAACTTGTGTGAAGAGGGTAAGAGGTTAAAAGAACTGGACTTGGTTAAATTGTTTGCCAAACAAACAAATGACCGAACAAGTGAGTTGTTTCCTACAAAAGCCCCCTCCCCTTTTGCTTCTCTTTTAATCCTGACGGGAGAGGCCATTCATCGTCTACCTGTGGCCTTACTCCCACGTCAACTCTGAGTTCTTAATTGTTCCTTCCTTTTGGCAGCTCTGCGCATGTGCAGGCTGGGAACCGGTTCCAGAAGCTCCCCTGCCTCACTGCTGTCCGAGCCCGAAGGCAGCTGATGACTGCCAGCCTGCCTTGGCCCCATCTCTGCCTCTGATGCAGAGCCCTCATCTGAGCCTTCCTCAACCTCCAGGAATGGCCCAGGTTCCTCCCCAACCTCCTCACTACTGTCCGACTCTGCTGCCAGCTCCTCCAGCCACCAGCGGGCCACAACATCTAATTCAACCCCTTGATCAAGGCAGAAGACATATACTATCCCAGTCAAATAATTGTCCAGTCTGTTTTTGAAAACCTCCAATGATGGAGCGCCCACAACTCCTGGAGTCAAGCCATTCCACTGATTAATTGTTCTCATTGTCAGAAAATTTCTCCTTACTTCTAGGTTGTGTCTCTCTTTGACAAGCTTCTTCCACCCATTAGATAGAAACTACGTATACCTTCCCTAACACAGAGGTGGGGATCCTATGGTCATATGCTGAACAACAAGCCCCAGTGTTCCTTATGACATCAGTCATGCTGGGCAATCAGCAATATTTGTAGAATCAAAAGTTCCCAGCTATTCTGGAAAGTTTTGAATAGAATACATCTTGAATACATCTTCAATGTACAATGTGGAATGTAGAACCACTTGTTTACAATTACAACGACATTGTATAAAAGGTGACTTAGGACTAGTCCTTAGATTGGGAACCATCACAAGCGTCCCCATAGTCATGTGATCAAATTTTGGTGCTTGGCAATTTGTATGTATTTACGAGGGTTGTAGAGTTTTGAGACTTACCATGGTTGACATTTTTGACTCTCCCAGCCAATTTTTGACAAGCAAAGTCAATGGGAGGAGCCAGATTTACTTAACAGGTGCATTATTCCCTTATCAACTGCAGTGATTCACTTAACAACTTGGGCAGAAAAAGGTCATAAATTTGGCCATAACTCACTTAACAACCATCTTGCTTAGCAATGGAAATTTTGATCCCAATTGGGGTCATGATTTGAGGACCGATTGTAGGCAATAGGACCTTAAGTCCAGATTTTATATTTTGTGACACTATCAATGACTTCAAATAGGATTTTTGAAATGTATTAAGAGCCAGCTATAGCCAGCTATAGCCAGCTATAGCTCTGAAATTCTGTTGTGTGGTTTAGTTCATTCCCAGAGTTCACGTAGGTTGGAACTTGGCTCTTCAATAGATTTTATTTTTAGATTTCACTGGGATTAAACAAAGATAACAAGAGCAATAGCACTTGGACTTATATACTGCTTTATAATGCTTTACAGCCCTCTCTAAGTGGATTACAGAGTCAACATATTGTCCACAACAATCTGGGTCCTCATTTTACTGACCTTGGAAGGATGGAAGTCAACCTTGAGCCAGTCAGGATTGAACTGCTGGCAGTGGGCAGAATTTTCCTGTAATATTGCATTCTCACAATAACAATAGCACACTTATATACTGCTTCACAGTGCTTTACAGCCCTCTCTAAGCAGTCTACAGAATCAGCATATTGCCCCAACAAGCTGGGTCCTCATTTTACCAGCCTCAGAAAGATTGGAAGCTGAGTCCACCTTAAGCCAGTAAGAACTGAACTGCCAAACTGCTTGCAATCAGCAGTCAGCAGAATTAGCCTGCAGTATTGCAATACTGCATTCTAACAAGTGCACCACCCCAGCTCTTGAGCCGGTCAGAATCAAACTGCTGGCAGTTGGCAGAATTAGCCTGCAATACTGCATTCTAACCACTGCCCCACCACGGCTCTGATTCGCACAATATTCATCTGCCGCAATAAGGATTGCAGTTTTTCACTTTGTTTCCCTTCACTATAAATATATCTTGCTTCTAAAGCAGGCTTGCTTCTCTTTAGAAAAAGTAGAAGAACGAAGGAAGAGCACCGATGGTCTTCATGAACTCTACAAGACTTTGGAACAAGCCAGTTTGTCAGCCTTTGGAGAGCAACGCCCTTCCACCAAGCAGGAATTCCGGAGGTCCTTCGTAAAGAGATGCAATGACCCTGTCATCAATGAAAAGTTGCATCGCATCAGAGTACTGAAAAGTACTTTAAAAGTAAGAACATGTTCTCTCTGTAATACAGGGGTCTTCAAACTTGACAGCTTTAAGCTCAACTCCCAGAATTCCTCCTCCAGCTCAGGAATTCTGGGAGTTGAAGTCCACAAGTCTTAAAGCTGTCAAGTTTAAAGACCTCTGCTTTAAGACTCGTGGATTTCTACTCCCAGAATTCCTCCTCCAGTCACGTTAGCTCAGGAATTCTGGGAGTTGAAGTCCACAAGTCTTAAAGCAGAGGTCTTCAAACTTGACAGCTTTAAGACTTGTGGACTTCAGTTCCCAGAATTCCTCTTCCAGTCATGTTAGCTCAGGAATTCTGGGAGTTGATGTCCACAAAGTCTTAAACTTGCCAAGTTTGAAGACCCTTGCTGTAGTAGATTCAGTGAAAGGGGCTGTAGATTATTAGAGTAAGTTTTTCCACTCCTGAATGAGAGGAATGTAGAAAGGCCAATTCTCCATCCAGTGGCCATCTCTAAATCCAAGCAGAAGGCCAATTTGACCCAGGAATGTTCACAAGACTTTGCTGCTCTCATTCAAATAGTGACATCATCACATTACAAGATCTTCCCCTAATGGCCTGGATGAAACATCATGACACCAAGACAGAAAAGGGCAAGACTGGAGCGTGATGTCAGGCATGAAGGATCAGGATCGCAAATTAGTTCCAGTTCAGAAGATTTATTGCTGAAGCCTATAAACAAGAATCTGGTCAACTAACATACAATACTAAATTGGGGTGTGATAAGAGTCAGCAGAATTCAAGAGGGGCTGGACTTATAACATTAGCGGGAATGAAATGACTCTAGGCTAATGATTCACTTGACTCTACCTTCCAGCTCTGCCTCCTTTTTTCTTTTCACATAATGATATAATGCTGCTTTCATCGTTCTGCTTGCTTCTCCCACCCATTTCATCCCAGACACTGTGAATTTCACCCTAAATGGATCTAAATGTTTGATTCAACTCATTCTTTTGTTCTTCCTTTGTCAACTTAATCTAATTCCTCTGCTTCTTTTCCCACCCACTCCCTTTTCCTTATGTTTTATTTCAAAATTGAAGGGAGGGGTTTTTTTTTCTCTCTCCCTGACATCAGTCAGGTTAACCTTCAGAGATAGCATCAAGCCAAAATTAAAGTTCAAAATTAAATGAATAATAATGAACCATAAATCATGCACACGTCAAAAAAAAAAACCTGATTAGATCATGTAGCCTCAAGAATGCAGTTAGCTGGAGGGCTTCTAATACTACTGCTCTTCACAAAGTGGAGTTATTAAGCTATTATTTCTTTTCTTCTTTTAATGAATTCTTTTTTTCTGCTAAGATAAAGGTGGAAAATATGAAGCAGGCTAAAAAAAAAAAATGAAGGAAACTTCTGAAATCCTTGTGAAATGAATGAGACAGTGTGGTTGCATAAGGGAGGGCCGGTTTGGTGTAGTAGTCAAGACCTTGGGCTAGAAACCAGGAGAGTGAATTCTCATTCTGCCTCAGACAGGAAGCCAGCTGGGTGACTTTGGGCCTGTTACTCTCTCTTTTTCAGCCCTAGGAAGGAAGCTAGAGCAACCTTCTAGACCAGCAGTGTCAAACTCAATTTCATTGATGGCTGTATCAGGCTTGTGTTTGACCTTGGGGGGCAGGGGCTGGGGGCATGGCCAGGCGGGCATGGCCAGCTCAACATCACTCATGCCAGGGGCACCTGTGGTGGCCAAGTGCTAGGGCAGGATTTCCCTCAGACCCTTGCTCACTCTCCTTATAATCTTCCTTCCTTCCTTCCTTCCTTCCTTCCTTCCTTCCTTCCTTCCTTCCTTCCTTCCTTCCTTCCTTCCTTCCTTCTTTCCTTCCTTCCTTTTCTTTTTTCCTTGCCTTTTCGTTCTCCTTTCTTCTTCCTTCCCCTCTTTCCTCCTTCCTTTCTTCCTTACTCTCTTCCTGTCTTTCCTTCTTTTTTTTCGCCTTTCCTCTTTCCCTTCTTGCATGCTCACATGCAAAAGGGGAAACATGTCTCAGTTTTAGTTTGTTTTGCTAGCCCACTGACAGCAAAAACAGAGCTTGCGGGGGGGGGCATGCACACACATCCCACCCCAGTTGTCCGCCGCAACAGAGGGCTCCTTTAGCCCTCTGCCAGGGAAAATGGAGCTCCGTTTTCCCTGGCAGAGGAACTGCAGGCCAGTCCTTTGCTGTTTTCAGGGCGGCCCTGTGAGCCAGATCGAAGCACCCCCCGGGCCTTGAGTTTGACACCCCTATTCTAGAGAGTCATGAGTTCTCCTCCTTAATCAGACAAGGGCATCAAAAAGATCTATGACTTGTGTCTTCCAAGACTGGCGAAATAGTTCAAAGCCTGGCACTTTTGGCATTGCGGTCATTTATATCTTCCTATGTCTGGATGTTCAGCGGCCCATTTGGCTTTCCATTTAGGAATCGATTGTTAAAATTGTTGGGCAGATGTTCCACAAGCGCCTTTGGGGTCTTCTTAGATTTGAGCCTTCCGGTTGATAAATGAGGACAGTCAGTATTACAGGTGGTATTCAGCAGGTTCTGATCAGTTCTGGAGAACCCGTAGCGGAAATTTTGAGTAGTTCGGAGAACGGGCAAATACCGCCTCTGACTGGCCCAGCCAACCCTATCTCTTCTCTGCTTCCTGAGTCCCAGCTAAATGACTGGGTCTTCTTTGGTTGCCCTGCACAGGAGAACGGAGCTGGAAAGCAGGTTAGTGGGGTGGGGAGAAAATGGGGATTTTACAGTACCCTTCCCCCAAGAAAGGGGAGGGAATGGGGATTTTGCAATATCCTTTCCCTGCCACGCCCACCAAGCCACACCACAGAACTGGTAGTAAAAAAAAAATTGACTCCCACCACTGATCAGCATACCTTGGTAGGAGTGAGTTGTTCATAATATTTCTCTTTACAATCACTAGTGCTTCTTGCCTTTGTAGTAATTTTTCTGTGGTCTCTCACTAGTGCACTTTGCTTTTGTAAGGCTGGTAGTGCTATGTGGCTCAGAATAGCAAGCCAGCAACTCATAGTAGTTTTAATACATCTGCTTATAATCCCCAGGGATAATAACTTACTGGCATCTAACTTACTCGTACGGCAGCTGTTAAGCCGTACAGCAGGGGTCTTCAATCTTGACAGCTTTAAGACTTGTGGACTTCAACTCCCAGAATTCCTCCTCCAGTCATGTTAGCTCAGGAATTCTGGGAGTTGAAGTCCACAAATCTTAAACTTGCCAAGTTTGAAGATCCTTGCTGTACAGGGACACAGCATTCTGCTGTGGAATAGATCAGCCCTAGTTCTGATGACTTGAGGTTGGCAGCTGAAGCTCCCCATTTAGTTCTACATAATTTCTGGAGAATGTTGTTCTTAGGATTGATCGATATTTTTTCCACCTGAAATGTTCTCTTTTTCGGACAGGCCAAGGAAGGAGATCTGGCCATGATCAACAACTTGCTCCACGAACCTAACTTGACGTCCAAGAAATTCAAGGAATGGAAAATAAAGAACTATGAGTTTTTCCTGGACATTTGTGAGTACAGCGGTGCTTTGAAAGCCAAGAACGGAGCTTCTGAACTCACCATTACGGCCTCTCTGCTCTCACACACACATTCCTTCATCGAAACCCACGTCTGACCATGTGAGGGTGGAGAGCAACTGGAGGGGAGGGAGAAACGATCCCTTTTGTGACAAAACACTGTAACCCATGTCAATAATGTATCCAGCTATATTGTAAATAGATTGGATAAGAATTTAGTACCATCGGATGCCTACTGCATTGCATGATGAGACAGATTTCTTTATTTATTTTTACTCCCCCTTTTCCAGAATTACTTAGGGTTGTTTTCTAAATCTGCTTTGGTAAAGAAGCAGCGTAGAAGGATCAACGGGCATAAAATGACACAAAACTGCAGTATATTTATAACACCAGTATACTTACCCTTATTTTAAAAAAAAACAAGCAAACATTGGAGTGCAGTCCACAGGATTCCTCTTTCTTTTATATATGTAGATATACTGCACCTACTCATATCTATGTATATAAAAAGGAATGTGAAAGCTGAGGTTTTATTTTTTAAATATTTCTAGATGTCCATTCTCATAAATTTCCCTCCCCTTTTTTTTTCTTAAGAGTGGAAATTTTAAATATGAAAAAGAGGGAAAAAAAGAATAAAACAGAACAGAAAGGGAAAGATGGTTTAATCCAGGGGTCGGCAACCCAGGACTCTAGAGCTGCATGTGGCTCTTTCATCCCGCTGCTGAGGCTCCATTGCTCAAAATAGGCATCACAACTGCAAGTGTGCGACACCCACCGACATGCAATTTATTTAGTTTTTCAACTCCCAGTAGTCCAACCACAGATAAATCCAAAAAAAAAAGTTTCAGAAGAAAACAACGTTTAATGGTACGCGGGCAGATTCATTTGCTTTCACTGCTGACGAGACTGGCTTAATATGTGGTGAGAAATGGGCAAACAACAAAAAGTTGCATGTTGCAAGACATTTCCAGAATAAACATGTGGCCTTTGCTGGAAAATATCTGGATGGAGATGAGAGGAAAAAAAGCCAAAATGGAATGGAACATTTCGAGTTTTGTGGCTCCCGGTGTTTTCTTTTTCTGTGGGAAATAGGTCCAAATACCTCTTGAAGTATTTAAGGTTGCCGACCCCTAGTTTAACCATTCAGCATTTCCAAGAAATGACCCCAGGTTGTGAAATATAAAGAGAGCCTGGCGAAGTCTAGAAATGGAAAAGTTAAATTCCCCCCCAAACACCCCTTTTTTGGCGTGCCTTAAAATATACAGCATTTATCCAGGAAAACCATTTACTTTCCATTTGGCCTGTCCAGGCGCATCTGGTACATGCTGTTGAAATGCTGTGCTATTTTTACAAAACTGTGCCTGCTTTTCAGAAGATTGACCCAAGACGCGTTGAGGGTGTGCGCACTTAAACACCCGTACATTAATGCGACAGAGAAGAAATTAAGGTAGAAAAAAAAACTGTTTGGGAGCAGGATTGTGCAAAATGCAGCTTCTGCTCACCTCCTGGGCCGTCACAAGTCGGGGCCGAGAACATAATAATCCATAACTTCTGGAAATCGGGAGCTATTCCGGGTGTCAGCAATCGTCCACTGTGAATTTAAGGCCAGAAACTTACCAACGGCAAAATTCTGATCTTGTCTTTTTGCAGCCTCAAGACAGAATAACAACAAGAACAAAAAAAGGCCAGACTGAACACCAATGGCTTTCTATATTTACACTGTGCTATTGAATAAAGATCCTCAGATTCATGATTTGAGAACCTTTGCAATAAAAGAAACCTACATCCTGTTGAGGCATTATCACCGAACAGGGAATTCAATGCCAGTAAGAGACATGAGTTCTTCTAATCACTCCTGATCCTTCCGAACCTGTCTCATTGAGTAGGGACTCATTTTCCATCTCATGTTCATTCAAAAACTAGTGGAAGTCTCTATCTGTTCAGGAACACTAACACTAATCATAATAATAATAATGAGCAAATCTCTTTCCTGCAAATTTTGCTGGATTGCAGTTCACATTGTTCTTCAAAACTGGAGTCCCCAAGAATCCATTTTAACAGTTTCTACTCCACTTTTGAGGAAGTAGGAATAGAAAACTCTTGCATACTTCACTGTCCAACATGGAGAAGGGGTGAGCGTTCAAAACAGAGCTTGACAATGAGCAAAAGGATATTCGGTGCAACATTACCGTTTTTAATTTCGACGTGATTCTGAGAACTAAAACTTAATTGGAAATATTCTGGACTACAGAGCAATATTTCTCAACTTTAGTGGCTTTAAGATGCATGGACTTCAGCTTCCAAAGTTACCCAAGTCCACTCATTTTACAGCCAACACCCAGTTGAAAAACATTGCCATAGAGGTTACATAGCCACTGATAGAAACAGATTGGGGTCTATAGAATCAACCTACATTTGAAGCCTACTAGAATGAGAATATATCTCCTGAATATATCTGCATTGGTGACAGGAAGGCCAGTAAACACTCAGCTCCACCCCGCAAGGGATTATGGGGTCATTAAAAGAAAATGATGAAGCCTACTAGAATGCAGGAAATCCTCAACTTACAACTATTCATTTAACAATTGTTCAAAGCTGTGATGGAAGTGAAAAAAGTGACTTATGACCAGTCCTTGCCCTGATGACTGTTGCAGTGTGCCCATGGTCATGTGATCGAAATTTGGGCACAGCAAGATGGTCATTTGTGACTTTCCCAGGAAGTTTCCAACAAGTTAAGTCAAGGGTGGAAGGTGTTGCATAACAACTGAATCACTTAGCAAGGGATGTTCCAGCCCCAACTGTGGTCATAAGTCAAGGACTACCTGTATCTGTTTTAGAGTATTGGAATGCTACCATAGACTCATAGGAACATTATGGAAAACTTCCAGAAGTCTATCCACAATTTAGATAAGTCTTGTCCAATCATAAACAGAAGTTGAACAAGGAAGTTGGTACTTCAGACAGAAGACCTGAACTCCTACTCCAGATCAATAAAATGAATCTAGTAATTGGCTGTTTATTGTCCCTTTTTCATTCCCTTTCCTTTTCCCCAGATGGGCTTCTTAAAATGGAGCCCATTTAGCTTGGCTTATTGTAAGGCCTAGCCTATGGATTTTTAGACAACACAGAAGGATGAATTAAGAAGAGAAACATTAATTTAAGACGTTCCTTGGTGTATACTGGTTTACACTGGGTCCTTTGCGAGCCCATTAGTTATATGCTGCAAGGACATGACCTCCACTTACTTAGGAGGAACTTACATCAAATTCTAACCAGAAGAGCATTTGGAAGTACAATGCTCTGTCGTCAATTTGTTTGCTTTAATCCTTTTGCATCCTTCGGCAAAGCGGGTAAACTGAGTTTCGATTGCATCATCCCATCCACCATATTGCCTTTTTTTAAATCATACCTTGAGACATTCCTGGCACATGAAAAAAAAACAACTAATATCTTGACTACAGAGTTGGAAGTCCAAATGTTGAAAGTATGTCTAGGACCAAGCAGAACTCTGTTGACCACCATCTGATCATCTTCTAGCCATAGAATGCTTAGGTCAGACAACATGCTTAACTAAGTTAAGTTAAAACCTTGGCAGGTATGTTTGCACTGAAAGATAAGCCTGATTGGTTTTAAACTTGGTTTGCATTTTGAGTTGGAATTTGGATGTCTGTTTTGTGGCTTAGTCTGTGTTGAAAACCCAGATTAGTTTTTCGTTTAATAGATCAAGAACATTACATCCAGTTTTGGTCACCACACTATAAAAAAAGACGTTGAGACTCTAGAAAAAGTGCAGAGAGAGCAACCAGGATGATTAGGGGACTGGAGGCTAAAATGTACGATGAATGGTTGCAGGAACTGGGCCTGGCTAGTCTAATGAAGAGAAGGACTAGGGGTGACATGATAGCAGTCTTCCAATATTTGAGGGGGCTGCCACAAAGAAGAGGGAGTCAACCTATTCTTCAAAAGCACAGTCAGGACAAGATGACATGGATGGAAACTAATCAAAGAGAGACCCAGCCGAGAACTAAGAAGAAATTTCCTTACAATGGGAACAATTAAACAGTGGAACGACTTGCCTTCAGAAGTTGTGACTGCTCCAACACTGGAGGTTTTTAAGAGACTGGACAACCATTTGTCTGGAATGATATAGCATTTCCTGCCTAAGCAGGGGTTGGACTAGAAGACCTCCAAGGTCCCTTCCAACTCTGTTAGTCTGTTAAAGAGTTAATTTACTAACCAAGTTAAGCATAGTATGTGTACATAATCACTGAGTAGCGACACTAATGCCTCCAGAGACAAAATAACAGCTGTAACCATGGTGTGGTAAGGCCAAATACCAGCACCTCAGATAAAGACTTCCACAATTTAAAGAGGAAAAACATTAAAGTATGTGAAATTTTAAAAGCAGCATATTTATAATGCCAGGATGAAGTTTAGGGCCTGATTGGACAAAACAATCTTTGTTCTCTAAACTCTAAAGCATTGTTTACTTAGTTGTAAACAAGCATTGTGCCCTTGTTCTTTCCTCCCCTGAGCACTTCAACCATGGTTTATTAAACCGAAATAAACTGGTTTACTTTGCACAACTAGCTTTATTCAGTCGCATATATATCTCGTTAGGTCATGGCAACTACTTTGACGGAGACAGATACAAGCTTCTGTTGTCATCTAACATCTGTCAAACAGAATAAGATGGCAGTTTGATATTCTGGTTTTGATATTATAGTAATCTGTAATTCTAAGATTATGATAAAAAGTATAGAAGATGATGTCATAAGCCACAAAGCTAGAGACAGAAGGACAAAGATGGGGTTTATATGCCCCAATCTCAGTTTTAATATGTCTGAATCAGACCTTTGACAATTACTTTCCCAAACAACTTTTTTTCTTCTTCTGTAAACCCTTTTCTCAGAAAAGGAAAGCACTTGCATTTTTCAAGGCCACATTTGATACACTGGTGATAACAGATTCTGGTGCTTCCAAAGAAGATGCTGAGGTGACTTCATCCCAAACCGTGTGCTTCCCAAAACATGTTGCCAAAGGTTTATAAATCTGCTGTTTTATTTTTGTCAGTCTCTCACAAGTCAGTCACCGTTTAAATCTATGCAGATCAGCCTTTTCTATAGAGTAGCTGTCCAAATTTGGCAACTCCTGAACCCGGCAGCTAGATTGATTCCGCTTCTCTGTGTCCTCACCAACTTGTTTTGTTGTATGAGAGTCTATATTTAATAAGTTCACAATCAATCTTTTTTTTTCTCTCTCTCTCCCTGAAAATGGCAATTTTATTGTTTATAGCAATGTTTCTCAATTTTAGCAGCTTTAAGTTGTCTGGACTTCAACTCCCAGAATTCCCCAGCAAGCATGGTCAACAGTGGACTATAGGATCCTTCGACATGCATATCCATCTAAATTTATGCTGCTGTTAAGATAAATGAACAGTATTCCTTCTTATCTCTCTCTCTTTTTTTCCTCTCTCTCTCTCCCTCCCTCCCTCTCTCCCTCCCTCTTCCTCTCCTC